GATAGAACATGACCCACTGACTTGTCTTACTGACTGTCTAGGTTTTTAGTTTGTGATCTATAGGTTTAATACATTTACACTAATTTTCCTTTGACTCTGTCTAGGTGGAATCACTGGGCGCCCAGGACACCACAGCTCTACGCTGACAAACACCGCAACACTATAAATCCCAGATTTACTGCTGTGAAACCTGGTTATAAATAGTAATAGTGTTATTAACACAGGTGGAAATCAGTTCAGGATATGGCTTCAAGACAAGCAGTACAATAATTATGATCTTTAATGAAGGGTGGTTATCAGCACACTGATCTACGCGCCTGGGACAAGGAGACTGCAATGGAAAACAGAAGATGGCAGGAAATAAAAACAAGATTTGACTCAAAGACGAAGGAGATGAAGGACAGTCAGAGAACAGGATTGAAATTGAAATGTACCGGAAATGTGTTTTGCACTTATGCTTTGGCAGTGTAAAGATGATGCTATCGTGCCAGTGAAGTGAATGAGACCGATAGAGAACAGGCACAGTGTGAGGCAGACCCAGGGAGGCAATATTATATATTTCTAAAAAAAAAAAACAACTTACCAAACACAATAGCAAGTCATTTAATTTTGCCTTGAGTCATAAAAAGTTGAGAAAATGCACAAATATGTTGAAATATCTCCACTAGTTTCCAAAGAATTTTTCATATTGCAAGAAATGTCACAGTAGATGATGAGAATGTTAAACAGGATAATGCTGCTTCAAGATAATGTCTCTTGATTAGTGCAAAATCTGTGCAAAACGTTGAGCCCCGCCGCAATCAAGCGCAGTGATGTGAGCCTGCTGGCGACAGTTTCTTCTGCTTTGAGGGAAACAGACTTGAGGGGGGGATTAAAGTTGAAATCAGATGCAAAGATAAACTGAAGGCGACGTCGTAGACTCCCGCGTCAACAGCAGGGTAATCCAGGGACTGACTGACTGACTCTGGAGCGTCCTCCGCCATCCCCCCGCCCAGCGCTCTGACACGCTGCTCACACTCCTCTGTCAGCACCTGTCAATCAGCATCTCCTTTGTCAGTGTTGGCCAATCCCTTGTCGCTGTTTCATGGGGCCCATTTGATTGACAAGTCAGGGAGTGGAGGAGCGGAGAGCTGAAGGTGGAGGGGATTCAGAGGGAGCCGGTGGCTTGGTGATGCTGTGTCTGCATGAAGCCAGGCCTCAAACAAAGGTGCCAAGGGCAGGAATCATTAGCATACAGTAGCTGGTGAGTGTGTGTATATTAGTGTATGTTTGTGTGTGTGTGTGCGCGTCTGACAGCAAGCATGAAGGAGCTGCAGTAGGAAGGCCGTCAGGCAGCCCGCCGCCTCCTGTC